TAGTTTCATTTTCGCCAGCCGCGCAGAGGTAGTTTTATTATCTACCCAAATAGGCTCAAATATAAGTCGAACTAATTCACATGGTTTTCACATTTATGGAGCTTTTTTAATGCCTTGTCATTAAAATTAAACGTTTTAGAGCTGTCTTCCTTGTCTTGACTTTGGTTTGGTACAGTACTGCGGAATCAGAATTGCAAATTTTCAAATGGGGATTTTTATTATGTTCCTTACCTAAAATGAATAAAATAGCTGTGGCGTTAATGTAAAGTTGGACCAGCCGAAAATATTGTCGCCAATTACTTATACCAACCGACATTGCGCTTAATCTAAAAAATAAGGCTAATTAGGATCCACTAATTTCAGAAATGTACTGTATGTAATGTTTTAAATGTTTACATATATTGGCAGTAACTCATTTTTTTATAACATCTCAATACGTTATGTTGACTTTCTGGTATAGTCAGATCGTAAATTCCCGATAGTTATGAAAGCTAAACAAAATTTTAATTTCTTTTTACAATTTCTTTTTAAAATTAACAACAACTTTTTAAATCAAATTTCAACTATTTCTGAAACACCATTGCCATATGTTAATTTTTGAGACTGTGCCTTTGCACCGAAAATTTCCTGAAGCCGATTCCGATTTGTAATTACCATTTAATCAGAGCAAGAAGGAGTGGAGAAATTTTTTTTTCGGTATTATGGCAGTGATATTTTATTATTTTAGGTTTGTTCCGTTAAGTCAATTGTACTTATTGACGTCCTCGGCGTTTCGCAAACTTGGTTGAAATTCATTGCATTAAAATAAAGAAGATTGCATTATTCGGTTTCCATCACTCCGACACCACTTATTTTTAGATCAGAAATTCTTCAAGATTGTCGGCGGTAATTCGTTTTAAGGGCGTTAATTTTCTTTTACATCTCTTCAGCATTGGGTTCCGGATACCACTTCCAGTACTTTGTCAGCAACAATTCGTAATGTTCGTTTTTTCGGTCCCTATCCCGATATTCTTTTCTGAAAAATATCGGCTTGAACGTTTAGTTTGAAAACAAAGCCGCGTAATTATATTATCTTAAAAGGCTTTTGCTAAAGTGTTATGAAATTTGTTGAGGGAGTTATGCATTTTTATTATTAAATTTAATAATATTGGATGTGACTGTTTCTCCTGGTTTTTATTGCAGGTTCTCAAGCATTTTAAGTGATTGGAAAAAAAATATTTGGGCTTAAGTTAAGTTTAGGTGCTTACAGGTTGGTCCCGACCTCGTGATCACGAAAATATATAACTTTTATAGAGGTTCTGAAAATGCATATGCATAATAACATTGGTATTTATGAGGCGATTGAGGTAATATGCGTATTATATCACACATGGTACAATAATACAAGGTAGAGCAGCTTCAGGTGAATAACAAAAAAGCAACTATGCACGTGTGGCTTCTTCTGCCAAAAATAAAATAAATATTCGCAACAAGTGTTTGTGTTTATTTTACATTTTTTCAACACAAAACTAAAAAAGCGAAAATTAATGAAATTTTATGATTTCTTCCCAAAATCCAGTAGGGAATACTATAAAATTTTTGTTTCATTCAGAACAAAGTAATTACTTCCAGACGAACGTGTTAAAAACAACATTTTCATTTCTATCAATATTGAATATATTCCAATTTATTTTGAATTTATTTGACATAGTATTCAAAACAATACTTTGATGGAACAAGCCACCTTGAGAAAAAATTGTAATCAATTGGTAGTATTCAAAGCATTTTTTGGGCAAAAAGTCATTTTTTCAATTTGGGAAAATAATATATTTTTTGGTACACAAAGTATGTATTTTGATTTTTGAAAATAAAATTAAAAAAATAAAAAAATTTTAAAAATTAAGTCCACCTTTAAACATGAGAAAAATATAATATTTGTAATACGTTTGTGTAGCGATTCAAAATTTACATAGTTGACTATAATAAAATAAATGTGTTTATTTTTTACACATACCTTTTATAAAATGTTTAAATTTGAATAATATATCCGTTTTTTGTAGATATTTGATATTAGGTCATATAATAAAAGGATATTAGGTCATTCCTCAAGAACTTTTCCGCGAAAAAAAGAATACACTCGAATTTTCATTACAAAATAAATAAGAAGACTCGTAAACCGCAAATATAAACCACCATAATTTATTTTTTTTCAGCATTGATTAAAAATAAAAAAATGATATATGAAAAACTGTTGTTCAGTATATCCAGGGTTTACTATAATCGTGTTCGACTGTAGTACGCATGGTTTTATCTCACTTTTACATATTAATAACATTAAAGAGTAAAAATGGGTACTGAATTAATTGTTATTAATGCATTCTGCAAAACATACATTGTAATAATTATTCCTTTAAAAATATGATCGCGGGGTCGAAATTTTTTTAACACACTACCCTAATAGTTTTCAACAGTTTGTTGTGTTTAAGAAAACTAATGAAAATACCTGAGAAAGAATTAACTTTGTTCGTTCTATGTGTAGTTGCTTATAACCGTTGTTCGTTATATCCGGTTTCTACTGTGGAAATCTGCGTTTTCCCTTTCATGTACATATAAATCATTTAAAAAGTCAAAAAATCGTTTAACACCATTGATATTAATTTTTCCCTCAAAAACAGGGCTAAGTCCCAATATAGATTAGGCGAGTTTACTTGCGGCAAGTCTTTGTTTGTAGGAGAGAGGGGCAAGGGGTATATAAATGAAAAAAAAATTGCTCGCACCGACAATTTTCTGGCAATTTGTTTTGTGTATTTCGTATTTGTTGACATTTTATATATATTTAAATGTCAAAAAAAAAAACAACAAATAAAAAAATATTTTGGAAACCGAATTGCCTTGTATAGACGCATGGAGCAAGTTCAAAAGAGAACGATAAAAAATTGCCACAAGTAAACTCGCCTAATATAAATCAGGACTAATTACCTATAGTGCATGGGTACACACATCTATTCACAATATATGACAGCATTTATATATATATTTAGTTATTATATTTATATTAATTATATATATTAACTAAAATTAAAAATTTTCAATGATTTTATGTTGAGTTTTTACTTGTTGCTTTTTTGCGTAGTTGTAAATTAGTGTAGTTTTTAGGTGCTACCAAGTTTTAAGGTTGATAGCAATCTTAGATCACAACCTAATTAATGCTAATGATGCATATGTTGCTAGATTTTAGTTTGAGTTTTTCATTTTGTAAAAAACAGTCATGGAATATTTAGAGCTCTATGAAATTTTTAATTATAAGCGCGAGGCGCTTTAAGTATTTCTACATTAAGGAAATTGCAGGAGCGGGGTTTGGTTCCGTACCCTGGGATTCTCAAATGTACTAAGGGATATCATTTAGAATTGACACCTTGTGTATATGGTGATGGTAGGATTTGGAGGTAAGTAGAGTAGGATTTTTTTTTTTTTGAGTGTTTATTGTACAGTTTTCTTTTTTATGTGTCAGAAAAGTTTCCGGGGCCGTCGACCTATCAGTTGCAGCTACAAGCGTTCCTTACGAAAAGGAACGTTCTTTGATAAATCGCACCTATCTATATGCCAACTTATTTTGTTTTGTTTCACATGAATTAACAGGGGAGGCCCTTTCATCGACGGCATTAAAGAAACCAAAATCAGTAAGCGGACTGGAGAAGACAGGAACAACTTCTATCGGAAGTTCATTCCAGATCTGAATTGAGATCGGCGGCCCAGGGAAGGAAGACGAGTCCAAGATCGGAAAGCGAAAATATAATAGAGGTCACTTTGTGAAGGGCAATGCGTTTTCGGTGGTGTTGAATGGGGAACCATGCTCGAAGTGTACTACGGATGCTCGAAGTTTACTCAAGTTAACAGCAAAATCGGGAATATGCTAACACACTCTTCTGTTTCAAGTGAATTGGCGAACTAGCAATAGGTGATAGCCATTTTAAATAATGGAAGTACTACAACCATCACCAACTTAAATTTTGTTAAAAACAATCTACGTTTAAAAACCTTGGGCTTGATAATATAACTCAATGACCCGATGCATCGGGTGTTTGTATTGAAAAGAGAATGTTAGTCCGATTATATATCGACAAAATTAACTTTAAAATCAGCAAACAAGTTAAACGGGGATATTTTTAATCACTTAAAAGCCTTAAAGAAATACACTCCAAGAGAACTTTCAAGATATCCGAGAAAATTGTAAGAGCTATTCAAATGGAAAACCAATGATTTCCGTCAATTTATATTTTATACATGTGTGTTGGTTTTAAAGGACAGATATCACGAAGACCTATACTATGAATTCCTTCCGCTTCATTGTATTGCCACAATGCTGTCTTGCCCGATAACCTATAAAACCATGGAGAATGTAGAAGTTCTATTTGAACTATTCGTGGAGAACTTCCCAGATATCTCTAAAGAAGACAGTATATCTTATAATGTACAATTGCAAATATTAAAATATTCACAAACGCTATAAAAGAGCTTTCATGCATGTCCTATGGTGTGAGGCATGCCGGAAGGACTCGTATATATATCCTCCTTTACTATCATTTGTTAAAATACATTACCAACTTTTGAGATGAGTTGCCCGTCGGTATCTAGGTTCTTATTATTTTATATTTGCACCACATTTGATTAAACATGTGTCAGATTTGTTGATTTACGGGAGGTATTTTATTTCCTATCTCTAATATAGCTTCTCGCCAAGAAGCCGCATCCATATATTCCACAATTACCATTAAAGGTAACACAACATTTTTGAAAAATAAATATATACTTTATTGATTACATTAACAGAACTATAAAATATTCTTTCATCCAGTACACAGATCACATTTACAATTTTGTTGTAGTAGTTTTGTTTTTGTTTTACATATAAAATTAATTCTTAAAAATACAAATTTGAAGATCAACTTAAAAGCTATACGTTTTTTTTTTTTGGGTGAATGCTTTGTCAGCAATAAAATTCTTAATTTTTCAAAAATCCTCCTGCTCCCAAAAACAAAAAATTATTCCGGTGGTGTATTGTCATGAATCCATTCGGCAAAATGAGCCACAGATGTATAGACACTAGGGATGCGTAAACCACCACAATTATCCGAACCAAAGGACATTATACCAATCTAAGAGAGCATGAAAAATAAATAAAATAATAATATTTCAATTTTTTTTAATTCGTTGCTTCATACCTGTGAAAATATTCCGTTCTCTTGTATAAACAACGGCGCTCCACCAAATCCTTGGCACACATCTTTACCCTCACCGCCAGCACACATCCATTGGCCCTCAATGGAATTGGGTGACTCCAAGGCACCCGTTGAACCATAATTACGCAAACACAAATCCCAACTGGTTAGCGGTACATCCAAATAAGACATTTCAGGTTGTCGGCTGCTTGATGTAGACATTTTACCCCAGCCAGCAATGGTGGCCCGCTTGCCCACCACCAAGTTGTTGCGTGTCTTTTGTAAACAAATCGGTTGGGTGGCCACTAAAAAAAGACAAAAGAAATTAAATATTGTTTAACAGAAATAATCCCAAATGGAGAAATATGATTTTTGCGTCTTTGATAACGCCACACAATAGAATATCCTAATTGAGGTGATTTATTTAATGTATGGTCATTAAGATGATGATGTATTTAAAGTTATCCTGATGAATGCCAGTCAATAATTGTTTAATAAGTTTTAAGAGGAAATGTTTTTCATACTGGAAATACATTTCTTTCTGAAAGAGTATTGTTTAATTTACGACAGAATTCCATTTAATTATCGAAACATTTATATTACAAGACGAGGGAGTGACACAATGAAAATAACAAGTAAAAACGTTTGAGGGATATACCATTCACTATAAATTGCTAAAAGAAGAAGAAGAAATACAAAATTGCAGTTTGGTTGAAAATTGGTTTAACATACCGTTAAATGGGACATCGGAGCTTTAGCAAAACTACAAACAAGTATAAATGTGTCATTCGGAGTTGCGGCAGATATATGCATATCCTCAGCCTATGGTTTGTGAAGGTCTACGAAATAACACAGAGGTTTTATTATTCGTTTTATTTTTTATCACAGATGTTTCGGGTTGTTCGAACCGGTAATTCAATTCGCTTCAAATTAAATTTTCAAGATTATGAAATAATAACCTTTTGTGAGGAAGGTGTCAGAAGGAGAGGACCGATGGGTCACACCTTCGAACTTGATCTTGGTAAAGATAATAGATTGTGCAGACTTCGTTTCAAATCGGACATTTCATTCGCCTAATATTGAATTTAGAAATATCGAACTTTCAATATGCTCTCTCTGATCAAAACACTGTTATCCATGCTTTGTTAGTACTTCTTAGTAATAACGATGGAATAATGGAAGTTGTTGCTGCTACACAATTCTTGATTAAATTGACAGGTTTAACGAGGACTGTTCATGAATGAAATGTGGTTTGTTGGAAGACTTGTAGGAGTACAGTTGGTAAGCGGTAATATCAATTTGTTGAATTCTGAACTAAAAAGCCCGTGATTGTAAAGAGGAGTAAATTTCTGTTGTTGGGCCGATTTCAATAGAAATAAGCTATATGTATTAATACAAGAAATGCCACAAGAAGTTTGACACCGGAAGCTGCCGTAAAACATTTTTGGAAAACTGCCAAATCTTGTAAAATTGGCTCTGTAAGCTGATTAAATAAAGGCGAAGAAAACGTGAATTGAAGCCAATGGAATTGTGTTTCATAACGCCAGGGGGAATAAAGGCTTTAAGTTTTAGATATGAGCCTTGAAAATATATATAAAAATATTTTATTAATACCCTTTGAAGGACACCAAACAAAATTTCAATAACTCTGGGTATTTACCATAGTTGGGCAGACTTGCACACCAGCGTTGATGGGTCCTCTTTAAATTTTTTGATATTAAAAGAAAAATAAAAATTGATGACATTTTTTTCCGAAAAATATTTAATGAATTATTTTTTGAAATTCCTGGGATATTGTTTATGCTTTCAAAATATTTAATTTAATAAATTCCGAATAATAATTCACGTTTTTATTTTCCCTTAAACATTTTTTAAGAGAAATTTTGCCCACCATTGGTATTTACATAGTATCATCTAATTATAATTAAATTAAACGGAATATAAAGTTCCAGAATATTATTCATTTTTACAAGACATAGTTCTACCACCTATGTCATAACGTTTAAAAAAGCGACGACGAAAAAATGCAACACGTAAAAATTTACACATTTTTGAAACCAAATGTATTGTTTGTTTACAAAAGTTTAATTGGCAGTTACAGATAAAAAGGCAACATGTCTACGGAGAAGGTAAGTTCTTTCCTAATTCATTTCATTATTTATTAATTTCACTTTCTTTGGAAATTGAAAAATAAACACATCAGTCTGGCAATTCAAAACAAAATTTGATGCAGGCGTTTCCAGATGCGATTTGTGCAATCAGTTCAGCTGTAGTCCACAATTACAAGACTTATCCAAATTAAGTATATCCTTTCCAATATTGCGCAACAAAACAAGAATATGTCCAAGAAGAGAATGAGAGTTGGTGCCAGTGAAGAAGTAGATAACTCCCTACTATTATGGTTCAGAGAGATGAGGTCGAAGCAAGCAACTTTAACAGGTCCTTAGCTGTTGGAAAAAAACAAAGTTTTTTTGCCAATAAACTGAACGTCAACTTTGAACCAAAACAGGGTTGGCTTGAACGGTGGAAGAACAGATAAAACATTCATTTTAAAAAATTACATGTTAAACAAAGTTCCGCCAATAGTTCTTCTGCAAATAAATGGCTGGAAAACATATTACCTGCTTACCTTCTTATTCGGAGGATGCAATATATAATGCTGACGAGTCAGTCCTTCTCTATAAAGCAATACCATCTGGAACTCCTGCAAATAAATCTGATATTCTTTCTGGAAGAAAACTTCATACGGACAGACTTACACTACTCTTTTTGACAAATTCTACTGGCAGCCACAAAAAGATTTTTGCACAGGAAAATCGCAGAACCCGCGAGATTTTAAAAAATCTACTTCACTTCCCGAAAAATATTTTGCTAACTCTAAAGCATAGATGACTGCTGTTATATGGACCAATATAATGAAACATCTCGATACTGAATTTAAAGAAATCGGAAAAAAATTGTACTTTTTGTGCTGCGTGTCATAAGATATGTGATGGTACATTTTTGGATAATATACAACTAGTTTTTCTTCCGAGGACCAAGGAATCATTAAATTGTTCAAAGCTCAATTCCGATCTAATATAGAATCAAAACAGCTTATACGTCTAGAATGTGGACTTTCCTTACAGGAATATTCAAAAAAGGTTGACATCTTAGAAGCTCTCGATGGTACAAACAGTTTGGTCGAATGTGACTGCCGAAACAATCCGAAACTGCTTTTGTTTAAGGCTGGAATTATTCCTTGAAACGCAGACTGTTTTCTAGATGAGAGCCTAGCGTCGGCATTTCCTTTAAGCTGTGAAATTGAAATTCTAATTGACAGTGATAAAAATGTAGATTGTTACGGAGTATTGGCTGACGAAGAAATCATAGAGCAGGTGACGTATACGGCTAATAATAAAAATAAAGAAAACGACGTAGATATTATTAACAAACCTAATTCGAAAGAGGCATTAGAAGCTATTCACGTAATCAAATCATTTTTTGAAGACAACAGTAAGCCTTTAACTAAAATAAACGATCACGAAAAAATAATGTGTCAAACACATTTAAAAAATTCACCAAAATAAATGACTATTTTAATTCAAGTTCTTTCATATAATTAATTTTGTATTTATGTGAACACAAACTACTGTTATTAACTCAAGTTCCTTAATTTTCTTTTTACTCTCTTTATAATGGATTTTTAATTTTAAAAATAAAAATATGTTAATAAACCTAATAAAATGAATTTAATTTATAAATATGTTTTAATAAATGTGTATTTATCTCGTTCCTCTTTATTTGCTGACTTCGTTTAATGAGTTTCACTTATCCGAAGTCCGTCTAATTGAAAATCCCACATAAAAAAAAATTACTGAAATTATTCGTTTTCGCTTAACCGAATTCGACTGTATTATTAATTGCTTAAGGTGTCATCGATACTTCTACCACCAGAAAAATGAAAAGCGGCGCTGATGGCTCTAGAGTACATTGCATAGAATATAGTCATTATTAGTGATTAGGCAGATTATAAGTAATATATGCACTCAAGTATGCTGTGACCACATTAATTCTCATTCACATTTAATGCATATCTGACAATTGCAAGACTTTGTAATTTTTATCATAATTTGTCAAAATTTAAAAACTTTGTAGGTAGGCGGGAAGAATGTATCGATCAGAGTTATGAATTTATGGTCACTATTGTCGTCAGTAGGTTATCTAATTATTTTAAAGTATCCTGTAAAATTTACAAATATTGATTTGTATCGGTTCAGATTTTGATAAAGCTCCTGTATACAATTTCGATGGAAACCTAACCAATTTGTCATTGCAGACACATTTACTAAATAAAACCCTTCCATACAATCTCCAATTTATGAATGAAACCATAAAAAACACTTCATTAGACATCCCATAAACATTTAAAACGGCATATGGCCAAAAACCAAAACCAGAACATTAGCTGCTAATAAAGGCGTTGTGATAACACGAAAAATGTGTGTAATTTGTCGACAATGAAATTACAGGTTATGGACCACCACCACAGAGAACACAATCGATGATGATGGCCATTAATATAATTTGGTTTCTGCCCAATGAAAGCGATGTGAGGCAGAGTTCCTTATAAAAACTGAATTGAATACAAAGTACCTGTCCTCCTTTCCAATGGATACGAAGAACTAAACGAGATAATGGTCAAAACAAGTGTGCATGCAGGTTCTTCCTCACATTTCGTCAAAATTATTATTTTATGTTCATTGTTATTGTTGTTTAATTAAATTTTGGCAGAACGTGATTCTGTTTTCTTTTTTATACTTTCCACCACCACAGGTGTCTTCTTATGGATTATTCTTAAAGGACGCTACAAATTTTGGAAGCAGAAACGCACAATTCGATTATCTTTAGCACGTACCAATTGTTCTGCGTTTTTAGGCAAAATATTTGTGAATTGAGTTGTATTAAATAAATTTGCTCGATGAAGACATTGTTTGGCCATATCAATCAGCAACCGTCGATAAAAGTTATGGATTGTGGTAAATTTAGGGAAACAATGTATTACTAAGTATTTTTGGATTCAATTTTTGAAAATAAATTACGAAAAATTTTATTAGAGATTAAAATGAGTTAGTTGAGAAGTCGACCCAAACATGATAATATATTGAAAAAAAATCAAAATCAAATCAGAGACGATTTTCCGGAAAATCGTCACTACTGCTGAATAATGGACAAATACTCGAAGTTAGTCAAAAAATTCCTGCAGACGCAAATTTACTCTTGAAGTCAACAAGCTAGTATGCGACCTCAAAAAGTGAGCAGAGCAAGTAAACTGTGCGCAACGGTTAAGTCACACTCAAACACTGTAAGAAAGAACGACAGGACACCTATCACATTTGACAGCAATTTATAAAGCATCCCGAAGATGACAATGCGAAGCAGAGGAGGTACAACCACAATATTTACAAAGGAAGTCATCTTGGGTGTTGGCCCGGTAATGCTTAGGCAACAGGATGAACCATGAGCCGCGTATTTCAAATCAGCCTTCAATTTCACGTAATCCACCTACATAGTTCCTGAAGTCTGGTGGTTATGTTACTGGAAAAAACGATTCCAAAAAAACACAATACTACAACAGTATTGTACGCCATTTCCAAACACATTTGTAGAGCACTGAACCAGGAAATCCGTGCAATCAAACAGTTTTGGTGACTCTTGACCTATGGAAGGCCCAGGGATGGTCCGTGTGACGAATTTTTAGGTTTTCGACTGTCAAAAAGGTGTAAACGTCGAAAACGTCATATACTTGTATAAAATGTAATAAATGTAGTAAACGTCATTTATTTCAATATTATCAGCATATACAGTTATTTTCAAGAATATATATTATTTTTACATATATCTGACTATTCTTTACTAGAACTGATACAATTTTCTAATTTTTGTTGTGTAAAGCATGCGTAATTTCCAAATTGATTAATGGATATAGCTATTTTGTCAAATAGAGTCCGGCTTCTAGCTTCAGTTCTTTAAACACAAGCTCTGAAGAAGAGCTGAAAGCTGATGAGAGTCTTTATAAGCTGAAGATATATGTGATTATAGGCGAGCAGAAGGGAGTATTGATTCCATAGAGTCCGGCTTCTAGAGATGAGGAAGGTATTTATAAACGATCTGATGGTAGTCTTTAAAGTCGAACTAAAGAGAGTCTTTATAGACGAGCCGATGGGAAACTTTATAGGAGCCTTTATAGACGAGCTGAATGGAGTCTTCATAGACGATCTGAAGGGAGTCTTCATAGGCGAGCTGAATGGAGTCTTCATAGACGATCTGAAGGGAGTCTTCATAGACGAGCTGAATGGAGTCTTCATAGACGATCTGAAGGGAGTCTTCATAGACGAGCTGAAGGGAGTCTTCATAGACGAGCTGAAGGGAGTCTTCATAGACGAGCTGAAGGGAGTCTTCATGGACGAGCTGAAGGGAGTCTTCATAGACGAGCTGAAGGGAGTCTTCATAGACGAGCTGAAGGGAGTCTTCATAGACGAGCTGAAGGGAGTCTTCATAGACGAGCTGAAGGGAGTCTTCATAGACGAGCTGAAGGGAGTCTTCATAGACGAGCTGAAGGGAGTCTTCATAGACGAGCTGAAGGGAGTCTTCATAGACGAGCTGAAGGGAGTCTTCATAGACGAGCTGAAGGGAGTCTTCATAGACGAGCTGAAGGGAGTCTTCATAGACGAGCTGAAGGGAGTCTTCATAGACGAGCTGAAGGGAGTCTTCATAGACGAGCTGAAGGGAGTCTTCATAGACGAGCTGAAGGGAGTCTTCATAGACGAGCTGAAGGGAGTCTTCATAGACGAGCTGAAGGGAGTCTTCATAGACGAGCTGAAGAGAGTCTTCATAGACTAGCTAAATGAAGTCTTCATTGACGAGCTGAAGAGAGTCTTTATAGACGAGCTGAAGAGAGTCTTTATAGACGAGCTGAAGAGAGTCTTTATAGACGAGCTGAAGAGAGTCTTTATAGACGAGACGATTTTTCAACCGAATTGGCTATTTATTTGCTTTCTCATTGGCTGTCAAGTCTCACTACCGAAAATTATTAATATCGATCCCCGTTTTGGTATATCCCCATATAACGTTTGCTGCACTATTAGGTATTTTCAGAATTTTAACCATATTTTTCTTTCGTCTTTTTTGGTATGTTCAGGTTCCTATCGTAACATGAGTTTTCTCCTTGGAAATCACATAATTTTAAATATTTTGAATGTCATCCTCGTAGTGTATGGTATAAAAACATAGTTTCTACTAGTTTTTTTGCTGAAGTCCATTTTTTCTGAAATATTGACTTCCAAAGTTCCGTACGTATCATATGGCCATGTATTCACTACTTTTTTTAAGTCCATGCTTTCTAAGATATTTCCGTCCAAAATTCCATCGGACTCTTATACAAAATTTCTCATTAGGACATACACTGATGGCCAAAACTAAAGCAACTAAAATTGCAGAGTATATAAATGCCGCATAAATCTTTCAAAAATTTAAATCACTAAAAAAAACTAAAATTTTGTTTGGACAAATATAAAATAACTCTACAGTACAAACCACAGAAGTGAACCTTTAAGTTATTTTTACCGATATAATTATTACCTTTTGGTTTCTGAAATGAAAGGCTCATGCCACAGTATTGCAAGGATACTGGCAAGCATGAAGGAGGTCAATAATTGTTTTTCTTGTTATGGAGTTCGATATATTTACGATATTTATGATATAATGGATCGGATTGTTTATACAAATGTGTTGGAAAATGCTATGGTTCCCTTCGCTGAAGAAAATATACCGTTTGTTTGGGTGTTTCCACTTGACAATAACCCCAAACATACACCGCAACATGTCAACGATTAGTTGTGGGAGTCAAAAATCAGAGTTTTACAATGGTAAACATAATCCTCAGATCTTTACTTTATAGAAAAATCTTTGAAGTATCATAGTTACTAAATCGAAAGAGTTTTGCAAACAAACAGATATAGCTTGTTGCTAAAGGTTCAGGATGAAAGGAATAGTAGAGTAACTTCGGGTAATGTGGACCACCATTTTCTTTTTTTGATATTGTGGGCGTAACAAAGGTAAAAAATAAAAACAAATTGTTTTCACAGCATGGTAGATTTGTTGGCTAATTATATTCTAGGTCAAAAATTATATATATTTGTCCATAAAAATGTTATTGCATTATATTTCAAAAAACTCTAAACTGCAAATAAAAATAACTTGGCGGGTAATGTGGACCAGTATGTGTGGGTAATGAGGATCAGTAAGTTAAAGGTAGGTTGTGGATTAATTGTGATAAATTTCAATTTATTGCACTCTTGGGTAACAATGAATGTAAAAATATATGGGCCCATGTTTTGGAATAGCCCCCATTTAAGGGTATCACCCCATTTGCGGTATTTTGAAGGTCCTAGGCACCTATAATTTCGGATATCGAGTTTTCAGAGGATAGAATACCTCCTCGCATATTAAATGCGCCCTTGTTTCGAACTCGTCCTCATGAAAATGTCCCAGTTTTTTATAGTGGTCCACATTACCCGACATTGAATATTTTTATTTAAAAATAATTATCGGCTTCAAAAATGAATAAAAATTTAAAAATAACCGAAAGTAATTACAGATAAACGTGTATTTTTGTTAAAGAACACAAGAAAACCACATAACCTCTTTATATTCGAGAAAAACAAAATGTTCGACTATTTTACAAAATTGTTCGACTATTGTGCTAAAAAATGTTCAAATCACACTTTTACAATCAGAGCTACATTTTCACCTACTAAATTTTCAACATTGCAATTATTTATTAAAAACCAAGTTTGATGTTTGTTCTCACTAATTAGGAAAACATATATCAAGGCGGCATTGGCATATTTCAAGCATTTTCTTAGATATGGGGGGTGGTCCACATTTGACGCATGGTCCACATTACCAGAAGTTACTCTATACCCAAGGATCAAATTGAGCATTTTATTGATTCTATGAAAAATGATGTTTCTGCTGTCGATTACAAGCAAAATTTGTTTATTTATAAGAAAAACTCAAAAACAGAATCTCATCTTAAATATAACAAATTTTGTTTGTGCAGGGTAATAGGCCAGATATTTAAGACTTTCTACGATGGACTTATGTCAAAACCTACTTCGCGACAGAATCTCCTTTTAAAAATAACATTTTCTGTGAATGGACGGCCCTGTGATTAGGATTATCCCCATTATATTATCGACGAAATAGAACAATTTGCACTTCTTCGATAAAAATAAATAGATTTCTGCAATCAACACTACAGCCGCTTCACATGCTGCGACCTCAGCAGAACGCAAAAAAAAACGTATATGGTTGTTATCAGGACCCTAGGGCTATTTATTTCAAAATGATCCGCGACCGGGCTATATTTTGGACTTAAGCCCCAAATTGTATATTTTGAAAACTAACAAACCCCACCTTACATCATGGGCGTTTCTCGGATTTGTTCTTCTTAAATTAACCATTTCAACCCTTCCCTTTTTTGACTTCTCATTTATTGCTACTGCAGATTAACCTTCTTCATCTATTAGATAATTAAGAATGGATTTTGAAATAAATTTTAAATACTCTTATCCATATATTCAAATAAATGTAACATTTTCCTCATGTTCCAGGCTTTAAAATATACCCATCACATCACGGTGCATGTCTATAAAAATGTGACCCATTTTTTAATTGCTATCACCCTAATTCTAAACTAACATGATGTTTGCATGTTTTTCTTTTTTTTTTTTTTTGCACAAACAAGGCCAAGGTTTAGCCATTACTCTAATTAGTAGAACCGGAGAATCAGATTCATAATTTTACAACAATAACAACAGCAAAACGTTGCAATCAACGTGATTTTTGAATGAGAAAAAGTGGAGTGTTGGTACTGCTGCATCATTTCCATTGGATGAACTTGACTCATAACCAACAACTTTCATATTTGTCGAGTCAGAACAATAATCACAAGCAAGCATACGGACAGACAGACGAATAAATAAATATGCATGTTGGCCTCTGTTGGCAATAATAATAACAATAATTTTTGTTTTTTTATACATTTAAACTTTAATTTGTAACAACAGACCGCCCCTTTCCGGTGTGAGAGACATCATCATGATCATTGCCAATAAAAACAACAACATCGCCATTAAAAAAAACAAATAAATTTTCCACACTTTGGACTTACCCGAATAATTGAGCGGAGTTTTTAACACCAACAAAGCAATATCATGATGATATTGGCCCTGTTTATAATCCGGATGTACAATGACATGACTAATGGCATGATTAACCGAACGTGGGGCACAAAATCCTGTACTGGCACAATCAGGATCAGAGGATGTGTCATATTCACCCACACGAACTGAAGATCTACATAAATTTGGAACATTTAGTTATCAAAACGAAGGAATAGAAGTTTGGAATACTTACAACCGGTGACCATCAGCCTTGGCCAGAGCACAATGGGCAGCTGTTAAAATAACTCTACGAGCAATTACCGAACCCGCACAAGGATAAGCAAAGGCTCCGGTATTAATGTCTACAAAAAATCAAATATAAAAATTTATAAATTCCTTTATATACTTGTCAATTGGCCTTTATAAAGACCGATGGTCTCTATACCGGCCAATTGGCCTTTATAAAGATCGATGGTCTCTATACCGGCCAATTGGCCTTTATAAAGACCGGTGGTCTTTATACCGGCCAATTGGCCTTTATAAAGACCTGTGGTCCTTATACCGGCCAATTGGCCTTTATAAAGACATGTGGTCCTTATACCGGCCAATTGGCCTTTATAAAGACCTGTGGTCCTTATACCGGCCAATTGGCCTTTATAAAGACCTGTGGTCCTTATACCGGCCAATTGGCCTTTATAAAGACCTGTGGTCCTTATACCGGCCAATTGGCCTTTATAAAGACCGGTGGTACTTATACCGGCCAATTGGCCTTTATAAAGACCGGTGGTCTCTATACCGGCCAATTGGACTTTATAAAGACCGGTGGTCTCTATACCGGCCAAGTGGCCTTTATAAAGACCGGTGGTCTCTATACCGGTGGTCTCTATACCGGCCAATTGGCCTTTATAAAGACCGGTGGTCTCTATACCGGTGGTGTCTACACCGGTGGTCTCTATAAAGACCTTTGGTCTCCATATCGTCGAATTGGCCTTTATAAAGACTCTATACCAATCAATTAGCCTTTATAAAGACAAATAGGTGTCTACACAGAACAATTTGTCTCCATAGAGAACTTCTTATTTAAATATCTGAATATATTTTCATATTTGTAATTTCAAACTTACGTTTAAATCCAATTCTTGCCACAAATGGATATGTACCCAAACCGCGATAGAAATGACCCTGAACCAGTGATTTTCCACAAACTTGATTCTTCTCCAATGGGCTACTGGGACAACAGACATAGGGCATTTCCTCACCGCCACCACAGAACAATGATTTATCGCCATAGTAACACATTTTGGCAACTTCGTAAATCATTGCCGTGCAATCGTGTAGCGGTGTACATTCGGTACCCACCGAACATTCAGTATTCGCATCATAATAAGCCCTGGGTAGATAGGAACGACCTTGTGGACCGCTGGCAGTTGTCGATTGATCTGTAGGTTTGCCATAAGTTCCCGGCATAACCAATCTTTCTGAAAATTAATAAGTAAATTGGCAATGTATTAAATCAGGTTTTCCACATCGTTAAGTTCGGTTGGAACGGACTTTTTATGCTCCACCATCATGAGGTTGACTTTCAAAATAATTAAAACCGTTCGGGACTTTTATATGGGGGCTATATCATGGTAAATAGCTGCCAGCAGAAAACTAAATACCATTTACGGATACTGAAATTAAAAAAATGGCCAATCTCAAAATATCGCGTAACTTAAAAAAACTGAAATCCTTAAGATAAATGTCAATTTTTTGATAGAAACATTTTACACCGAATTAAGTTAAAAAGGCGCCCATAATATCGGATAATGTGGGTACCGCCATATGGGGGCTATCTTCAAATGTGGTCCAATTTTGATAATACTCGCCCCATTCGGTTGAAACCCGGATCAAACTCTCCAATATATGGAGACTATAATAAAAAATGAACCAATACCTAAGTTGAATCCAAGTACCACATACCAAAATTTGGTAGGTACCGTTATATGGGGGCTATCGTAAAAAGTGGACCAATATTGAGCCTTTTGGAATTGAGATTTGACACCCAATGAGAATTTAAAATACAAAATTACTGCCAAATTACGAGGTGTGGTCCTACGACTTTTTAACGCCAATATATCGATTTACATATGAGAGTCCACCCATTACAATTTGTAAATAAAATACAAACCACAGTTATGGACCAATCGTTACGAAATTTGTTATGTAGATTCGATTTTGGCCAAAGAAGACATCTGTTGGTACTTTGTTTTGTATTGATCGGTTAATATGTATGCAAGTTAAATGGACCAACAGCTTTATTTTTGATTTTTTTTCTGGCCGACCTAGAGACCATATTTATGCCCCGACCATCAGAAAATTTTATACGGAGAATGGGATAAATATGTATATATATATATAGTTTAGTATTACACTGTGCGACAAATTTCCATTTTTTATATTATTTTTTTATATTTTGGAAATACACAAGTATCGACATTTTGAAAGATTTCGTCGGGGTGTAACGTAAAAAGTCGTTGCAATATTTCTCATTTTCAAGACATAGGAAATGGAATAATTTGTGTAATACCTTAACCCCCTGTCGACCCTCTGAAGGAGTCATTTCGGTCCCCATTTCCAGAGGTGATTGAAGATACTTTAAAGCGGGGTTATAGCGGGTCAGAATATTCTACAAAAATGTTCGCCATAAAATGTTGTTATAAGTCGCAAAATAGGCCAATATCCGAAAATCAGCCTAAATGTCAAAAATCTTAAAAAAATATAAAACTCATTTTTGGTTTTAAAATGGATCTTATTCCGAGTTTGTACTAATTTTTACAGAATTTCACTATTAGTTACAAACGAAAAGATTTTAAACTTTTCTAAATAAGTTGGTACCATGGTACAATAACAAGAAGTATGCTGATTTTTTTCTTTTGTGTGACCCTTTTCTGTCAAAACAATTACTTAATTTGTAAATGTGTTTGTAATAATTTGAAAGTTATAAACAAAATTAAAATATTTTCAAATTCAAAAACTTTATAGTACTCCGCACATATTCTGAAGAAAAACTTGACATTCCATTCATTTTTCGCAACATTTTCCTTATTTTATAAAAATATGTAAATATGACGCTATAAAACAATAATAATAGTTTCGGATATCTGACCTCCAAAGTTTTTTTTTTGTGGAATCTGTACCCAGATTTTCTATGTGATATGTGAATAATTCACTCATTTCACGGCTTTCGTGGCAATGAAAAAATTGAAGCCTAAAAATGAGGATTGCGTCGCTTATGAATAATTTTTATAAAATTTATCTGCATCTACCTTTATATGAATCTGGCATTTTGAAGTTCGATTTTGAGTATTTTTGAATTATTCAAAAAAAATCAATCGATTACTGTGTAATATGCTATGCTTTCTAAAATGCTATGTTTTTAATATGGGTACCCGCTATAAGTTACCTTTTTTACGGTTCGAATTAAATAAAATGATATTCATGAAAATCCATCTACTAGAACCTGTCAAAAAGACTAAATTTGGCAAAAAATATTTTTAAAAATTTTGCGAATTTAATTGTATTTTCTGTGGATCATTTGAACTTCAATAAATAAACTGATACAGATTTTGTTCTTTTGCGAAAACAGAACTTTAGATGTTAAAGATAGACCGATGTTAAGGATAGACCGATAAATGTAAAGGATTACTCGTTTTAGGTGCAATTTTAATATAGTTTTAGTTAATATTTTTCCCTATTGTTAGAACCTCGATTTATTTGAAGGTTGTTGTTATAATTGGCATGTACAAAAGAAGTAATTATTTTGACCAAAATCCTCCACAATTTTTGTGACTGACTTACTGATCGACTTACTTATGGTGTTTTTACACGATATGTATTTTACATATGTGCTGTCACTTTTTTGATCCATATGTAATTCCTTATGTGTGTCAAAATTAGCAGTGTACACAAAACATTTATTTTTATGTTCATATGACATAACCTATAAACAAAATAACACTTTTATTTTTTCTTAAATCAACATCATTTTTTTTATTAAACACCTACAAACGAAATAATAATTTGTAATTGTTGCCTTTTCACCTTTTTTTTGAATTACAATTGAAATATTTTCTTCCAACAATGTGTTTCATTCAAACAGTTGATTTCCATATGTTTCACATACGAAAATAGAGCGCGTCCTATTCGGAAAAAAATACATATGTAATTGCATATCGTTTTGACACATTGAAATTTCCGTATGTTTCACATGACGAGTTCGATTTCCATATGTAAAAAAGTGACAGCACCATTAACGATTCATGAACGCCCACATGAAACGGCTGAAGGCTGAGAGTCACCCTTAGTCCGAAGTCAGATAAAGCTGGGTATTTGAAAAGTGCTAAAAAGTACTAAACCTAAACCTACTAAACCTATTGGATTGTTTAAGTAGGTAGATATGAAAATGTATATTATAAATGTATATGTATATTTGGTAAAAATTGGATTTGTTGGAAACTATAGAGTTCGAATCATGAAATGTGGAATTAGTTATAGTAATATGTGCTACAAGAGTAGAAAAGGTATTTCTATAGTTTTGGTTGATAAATTGGGTGATAAATATTCATTTACAAAATTATCGGACCATATTTAGTTTTAGAGCCTAAAACGTTATGTCCCAACTATAGATATTTTGAAGATTTTGACTACTTAGTATAGTAAGGATAAATTCACCATATGTCAAGTTTTTGAGTTATGGCATGATACATTTTCTGCTGGTAACTCTAAAGTTCACGGAGAAAAAGATGTATATCTTTGTTTATGGTTATTGCATATTATTGTTGAGATGATATGTACTGAGTCAAATCGAATAGAAATAGTTTTGTTACAATTTTTTTCCTTCTCGAATCCTTGCGAGTCTTTTTCATCCTTATTTTCTTAAGCGGTAGACAAAATACAATACTTTTCAACAATCAAATATTCTGCAAAAACGTCGCTCATATAATTTTGTATAGTGTCCTAAAAGACAGGGCCCTTTAACATGACCCTTGCTCAGAAAACCTTAAATCTTCTATGTTTTAAGAACCCCTTAAAGTGTCCGTAACCCTTAAAGTGTCCGTAACTCTTAAGTCCGCCGAAATTAACCCGTTTGGAATCCAACATCTTATGCCCATTGGATTTGACCGGTTCAAAATCTTAAATTTTCTATGTTATTAACACGCTACAAGCCTCTTGAAGTGTCCGTAACTCTTGGGTCCGCCGGAAATAAACCGGTGAATTTCATCCACTAAAAACCCCTTGAAGTGTCCGAAGATCTTGGATCCGTCATAATTATCCCATTATGAACCCATAGAGGATAGGTGACCCTGGTATTAACGCGGTTTTGGGGTCATTGAAACAAACCCATTAGGGTTAAGAATTGTAACGATTGGGTACCTAAAATTCAGAGGCTAGACACAGGTCTTCCATAAATACAAGAACACGCAAGTATTCATACTGATTTTTTATTAATATCCAAAATAATCTGTGTTATTACTTTGACCTTGGTCCCGTGAGCTCCCACCAGCAACCAGAGGAAACTTGCTAATCATATGGAATAAATGTTCTTCTTTCTAGGAAATGTTTAATTAATAGGTTTACATTTTCTGACTCATTTTAGATATTTTGCTGGGCCTAGACGGATTTCCAAACGAAGTATTTGTAATTTAGCTTTCCGGGTTCTTGGTGGGTATGCAACATGTTCATGGAACATTTTCAATATAAGTCCATGTCTTGGCATAACCTCCATATAAGAGCTCGTCCCATTTTCAGTATATTGAAAAGCCGAATTTTCCAACCCGTATTTTTTTCTTTTTGCGAAATACAAATTATTTCGTTTTCAGAGAATATAATCCTTTTATGGCCATAATGATACTGATAGATTTAATGTATTATGGATGCCCACACCTCATGGTGGGAGATATGCAAAGTTCGACTTATTACAGTTGTGGTTAACGCGATTTTAAAACGAATGTCTACAATCTTTAACTTTATCTCCCTTTCATTTCTCTTTATGATCCCATTGTCATATTTACTTTCTAAACTATCTATATTTTTTATTCTACTATATTGAACATTCGAGTACTTACCGAATTCACCATTTTCACAATTTCCCGCTGCCGCAAATAATCCAATTATTAGAAAAGTGAAAATTTGCCATAAATGCAAGTTATGGCCATGAAATGAAGCCATTATTTTGACTTTGTGCAGCATAACTCGTTGATGTTGTAGTTGTTGTTGCTGCTAATGTTGTTGGCGTTTGAAAAAAAAATGTTCCACACAATTCTAATTATTTGCAATTAGTTATTGTTGTTGTTATATACTCATATATTATTAAATTAGGAACTAAAGTACACACAATTTTTATTTTTGAAATGCAACCGGCGTTAAATTATAGTGTCTCTTCACTATAAACTTTTCACCACTTTTACATTCGAAAAAACAAGGCAATGCAAAACCAACTAAATTTTCTTTCTTCTTTCACTCAGCCAACTTAAAAAAAACGGTTTGCACTTTCAAGCGGTTCCAACAAATTGCAAAGAGTTGCTTTTGATATTTATTGTTTGTATTTAAATTTCACCCGCAAAATGCGTCTAAACCCTTCGAATGCACTTCGGCAACTGAAATATTTTTTCGATTTGTTGGAATTTTCTCCACCTCCCCTAGAGAATTATTCTAACACCAAAAAAAAGTTGTATGTAGATCCATTAGACCAATAAAATTCCAGATGTGGTAGCTGAGGTACTGCTGTTCTTTTTTCCACGTTGTTGTTGTTGTTCGTTTTATTGTTGTTGTTGATCACTTGTCCATTCATTCGTTTAAGCCATTATTATTATCGGCAGCATTGCTGCGGTTCATCTCATCATCACTACTGTCGCTTTTTTGTTGCTGTTGTTAGTGTTTCTGCTGTTATAGTTGTAGTTGTTGTTGCTTTCGGTGCGTTAACAGCTTTCATTACGAAGTAAGCCACGGTTGGCTTTTATATTTATAAGCTCGGTTTAATTTTGAGTTTTATTCATTCACTTTGTGGCTAGCGTGATTTTTTTCTGTTGGTTGGTGCCTCACTCAAGCGGTATGGAAAATGTACAGTGGTGAGCAAAATCAAGCACATAAATTAGTTTTTTTATGTCTGAATGGAAAAGATGGTTCTATGGGGAAGACCTTTTGGTTTGTTGTAGAAGACCTCTTGGTTTTCTATGAAGAAGATCATTGGCTTTTTTGGATGAACTCTCGGACTTCCATGTGGAAGACCTCTTGAGCTTCTATGAAAAACACCTTTTCGGTTTCTATGGGTAAGTCCTTGTGGTCTACTTTGGTGAAGACTTTTTGGTCTTTTATGGAGAAAATATTTTGCTCTTCTATGAAGAAGACCCTTAGTCTTTTATAAAAAAATCAACTTCTATAAGAAGATCTCCTGGTCTCCTTTGAAGAAAATATCTTGGTCAGCCATAAAGCCTCCTGGGCTTCAGTGAAGAATAGCTTTTGGTTTTTTATGAATAATACCTCTTGGTCTTTCATAAAGAAGACCTCATGGTCTTCTATAAGACCTCATGGTATTCTATAAAAGTACCCCTTGGTCTTCTATAAGAAGACTTCCTAGTCTTCAATTAGAAGACCTCTTAGTCGCCTATAAGAAGGCCTCTATAGGATTTCTGTGTCACCTATAAGATGACCTCTTAACTTGAACTTCTATAAGAAGGCCACTTGGTATTCTATTAGAAGACTTTCTGGTCTTTTGCAAGAAGACCTCTTGGAATTCTATAAGAAACCCTCCAGGTCTTTTATAAAGAAAATCTCTGGGACCTCTATAAAGAAGAACCCTTGGTCTTTAAAAAAAACCCCTTGGGTCATCTATTCAAGATCAATCGGGTTTCAATAAAGAAGATCTTTCGGGCCCCTATCGGGAAGAACTCTAGGTCTTCTATAAGAAGACTTCCGAGTCGTCTACGAGAAAGCCTCCTGGTCGTCTATAACAAGACCCCTTGGACTTCTACAAGAACATTTCCTGATTTATTAGAAGTCCTCTTCGTATTCTATAAAAAAGACCTCTTGTTCTTCCATAAGAAGCACTCTTGGTCTTCTATATGAAGACTTCCTTGTCTTCTACAAAAAGTCCTCTATAGGATTTCTGTGTCGCCTATAAGATGACCCTTAACTTGAACTTCTATAAGAAGGCCACTTGGTATTCTATCAGAAGACTTTCTGGTCTTTTGCAAGAAGACCTCTTGGAATTCTATAAGAAATCCTCCAGGTCTTTTATAAAGAAAATCTCTCGGACCTCTATAAAGAAGAACTCTTGGTCTTTAAAAAAAACCCTTGGGTCATCTATTCAAGATCAATCGGGTTTCAATAAAGAAGATCTTTCGGGCCCCTATCGGAAAGAACTCTAGGTCTTCTATAAGAAGACTTCCGAGTCGTCTACAAGAAAGCCTCCTGGTCCCCTTGGACTTCTACAAGAACATTTCCTGATTTATTAGAAGTCCTCTTCGTATTCTATAAAAAAAACCTCTTGTTCTTCCATAAGAAACACTCTTGGTATTCTATATGAAGACTTCCTTGTCTTCTACAAATAGTCATCTTGGACTTCTATAAGAAGACCTCACGGATTTCTATAAAGAATACCTCTTGGTCTTCTATAAAAAATCCTTCTATGAAGAACTCCTCTTGCTTTTCTATATAGAAAATCTTTTGACCTTTATTTGAGAAAATAAGAAATTTTGTCAGGTTCTTCTATAAATTAACATAACAGGAGTTTCCAAAGTAGACACACAAAACTTCTATATTAGAAATTTTCTGAGTACTTCAGATAAATAGGTCTACCTCAAGGTCTTCTATAAAAGAAGGCCTCAGTATTATTCATGGAAGAAAGTTTCAGGAGTCTCCTAAAAAGATGTTTTAGATATTCTCTTAAAGAATATCCCAAAGTGTTCTAAGAACGAAGGTCTTTGGGTCTTCCTCAAAAGAAATGTGCAGATCGTCTATAAAAGAAGTTATCAGACTTTTTATAAAATAATACCTCAGGGCTTTTTAAAAAAAAACGAAGACATTGGCCCTTTTATAAAAGTAGGTGGTGGAATCATATTTAAATTGGATCTTCGGATTTTCAGTAGCAGAAGACGACATCAATGTCTCTTGTAAAAAATGAGAAGAATATCACAGGGGGCTTATAAAGAAGAATGCCTCAGGGACCTATATAAAAGAACAGATGAAATAAAGGGACAACTCAGGATATTTTACAAGAAGTCATTGGGGTCTCCTGTAGTGGAAGACAATCTAGGGTCTTCTATATAAAAACAACATCAGTGTCCACATGAGAAAAAGTTTTTAGTGTCTTCATAGACGAAGATCTCAGAATATTTCATAGATGAAAAAACACTACATCATTTTTGAAAAAAGACCTTAGGGTCTTCTGAATGTGAATACGTTTGGTTCTTCTGCAACACCTTAGGATATTTTCACAATAAAGCTTCAGGGTCTTCTATTGAAGATGATTAAAAAAATCTTGGGTTCTTCTATAAAAAAACAAAGTCAAAAGGCTAGACCGATTTTTGTTATACTCCACCAAAATACCTCAAGTTGGTCCCGTCCTTTGTGTGGTAGCTATCTCCAAAAACACGACTACGCTCAACATTTTCAGCGACAAAAGTTGTTACCGACTGAGAACGCAAGACGCCAATAAGTTAAAGGAGCCAAATATTAGGTTAGGTTAAAGGATGTACAGTCATCATTAGCAGCCGTAACTCTCGGAGACATTTGTAGTTTTACGACTTTATAACTCAGGTCAGATAGTGTATGAAATCCTGAATGCAGGTTTCGCTGCCGGCTTTGAAATCCTGCATCCAATTAAATAGCGAACGCCCTCGAGCACGCTCGTCAGCTGTTTCATCCCCGTCTATATCACTATGTCCTGGAACCCAACAAATATTAAATACAAATATTAACAGTCAAGAACCGCTTTTGAATTTTTTTGAAGTGTTGATTGTCAGTCGGCCCTGACAATCTCTTTAATGTCATCGAATAAATGTCATCCAATAAAGACATTGGAGGGAACATAGTTAAAAAAAATCACAATCCAATATTGTGTTGAGAATACTTGGGTGGTCAAAGTACAACGATCTCCACATGTTCGTTTCTCGAAGTCTCAGGGCAGCAAGGAATTTAAACGAAATATCCAATGGTTGGAGGTTTAAAATTACTTTCAAATTCACTTTTGGTGTGCTTCTGAGTGCTACCGTAATTAGGATTGCCTAGGTATTTTGGTTCTAAGGAAAGTTTTATTATTAATCCACCTAAAGATGACAGACGGAAGTTTCGGATCTTACGTTCCTTAGTGAAAAGTACCATTTATGTCTTCGTGGGGTTTACCCCAAGACCATTGGTCTGGGCCTAGTTAGACATATTATATAAATCACCCTACATTATATCGGAAATAGTCGGCAGAAATTTCCCACTGACTAACAAGTCTACGTCATTGGCCAGTGTCTCATTTAAAACCAGAAGCCATAGTAGAGGATAGATAACTCCTCCTGTGGTGTTCTTCTTTTGACAGATTTCCCCACGGAGCTCTCTCCAATAGATGAATTTATAACTCAGCTTTCCAGCATTCTATCAATCCATTCCGTTGGGAGAGAGGATACATCTGTACCTTCGAGAGCAGAATGGATATATCTAGCTTGACATTATTGATATCCTTCGATATCGAGGAACGCAGCTTATTTGTAATCTCACGTACGGCAGTATCCACTGATTTGCCTTCGATGTAGGCGTTTTGGGTTCAACTGATATTTACCGTTAGCATGAAATTTTCTAATAAATAAATCTGCATAATAAGGTATTAATTGCACACCGTCTTAATGCAGGCTCACCGGATGCAGGGTTTAAAAATGCATAGATGTGTAAATTTACAGCCACTTCGGTTTGAGCCTAAAATCTATAAACCAAACATGAAATAATACATGCGGTTATTCTACATACGAAAATTTTAGAGACTTCCATGGAAGAAATTCACAGGTCACTTCCTAATAAGAAACGTCAATTTAATGTTTCATATCCTCCGCCATGGGTAGAACAAATCGATCGGTACTTTTATATGGTGGTTATATCAATGAATACCAGGTTTAGGTTTAAAACGGACTTAAAATAATGAAAAAAGGGGGTACAAATTATGTTACTCGCCTACGACATCGATATAAT